TTGCCCTGCATTCATCGGTGAATAATACGTTCTCAAAATTCACTTTCATGTTATTTTCTGCCCACTTTAGTCTCTTTTGACGATGGATGCCCTTCAAAGGATGTCTAGTCACAGGTTTTCCACATTTGCTTATGCGCTTCAGAGAGACATCTTGTACTTTTGGGTGTATGTGGTAAACCAACTGCCTCAAAAATTTCCTTGCTAGTTTGGAGAGGGTTGCGGCGAATCTCTCTTTTTAAACGCTTGACCATTCGGGGACTTACAGCTGAGCTCCTCCGAGATTTACCTTTGTCTGACCTTCCATTAAAAGATTCTGGGTTTGCAACAAATTTTTTTATCGTTCGATGGTCACGACTAAGTTTTTTCGCTATTTGGAGGGTTGTTTGTTTCGCATGAAGGCCCTGAATTATTGCTGCTTTTTCACTGTCAGTCAAAGTGACTTTTCTGCCCATGTTGCATAAAAATATTGGACATTCCCTGAATGTTAAAATGCTATCATTTGTTTACTAGTGCGCAGAACTGCACGACATTTCAGATGTGCGCAGATGTCAGTGTTGCCACTTTGCACACAAAATTCTGTAAATTTCTTCTCAATACTGCCCTAGATATTTTAGAAAAATATATTTGCATATAATTTTTGGACGCAGTGTAGAAATTATTAAGCCACACAGCAAACCATTTCTGGTCACAACAGTCTATAGACCACCCAATGCATCATCTGAATTCTTTGATTATTTTGAAAAATTAATCAAAGCTATTGATGATGAAAATAAGGAAGTGTATCTTTTGAATGATCTAAACTGTGATATGCTTAAAAACGACCAAGATTAAAATATTCATACCAAGAAAATCAAGTCATTGTACGAGTTGTATCAGTTATCACAATTAATTGATGAAGCTACCCGAGTAACTATGACAACCTCCAGTCTCATCGATCATGTAGTTACCAATACACCAGAGAAAATTTCTGATTCTGGTGTTATCCATACTGGATTAAGTGACCATAGTTTATTATTTGCAACTAGAAATACATGCATGCAGTAACCCCTCGCCGGTTCTTAATGCGATAACATAATTTCCAAAAATCGGTGAAAAATAAATTTAATTAAAAAAATATATAAATACAAACTATTTTACAAATTCACAATAATACAAAATTTACAGAATAATAATAAAAATAACAATTTACATATTAATTTAAAACAATTTAAAAATTTAATCTATAACAATAGCCCCGTTTACATTACAGTCAATTTATCGGCACGGCACGGCACGGCACGGCTAAAATTGGTACCCGTGCCCAATTTTAATAGGGAGCTTTAGCAATGACTACGAGTACGACTACGAGTACGAGATTCGTCATTCTGGCGCGTTGTTTGCTTACGCCATCAGCCAAAACTCGTAGTCGTTGGGCTTTTGAGTACGAGTTTTTTGATAAATTTCGTACTTAAAAGCCCAACGACTATGAGTTTTGGCTGATGGCGTAAGCAAACAACGCGCGAGAATGACAAATCTCGTACTCGTACTCGTAGTCACTGCTAAAGCTCCCTATTAGTGTTCAGGCTACGAAGCAAAGGCCGAGCACAGATGAAATAGGCACCCATTTTAGCCGTGCCGTGCCATTAATAAATTGAGTGTAGTGTAAACGGGACTAATATAACGTGAGAACAACACGAGGCTACGTTGACATACAGTGATTTATGAGCAGCTAGTTGAAAACAATATTGTCTCGTCTTTAATGTTCTGATAGCTCATTGTTTTTTTAAATCTTATTTAACATTTGTATACCGGGCAAGATGTTCAACATGGAGATTTTAATTAGACTGTATGTCAACGTAGCCTAATCTGCACGTTTGAGAAGTTCAAGCAAATCAAGCATTGAACTTCTCAAACGTGCAGTTTGTAAACTGCATGGTGGGTTTTATTGCCCCAGTTTTTTTGTGCCCCCTGTCGCTGGGGACACATGACTTTCGTGTGTCCTCTTCGGCCACATAACCAACAAACAGCCCCTATAAATAAAAAATGTTATTACAAAGCTTTGAGTTAACGGTGAATTGGTGATAGAACTGCAGAATAATTACTCGGGTCACCAGTTGGAGAAAGAAATAGCCTAAAACATTATTGTCATATATTGCGATGGGCAGCGTCTATACTACCATCTACTATCTAACAATAGCCCTGAAGCCATGATTATATTGTTTGTGAACCAGTGAGGTAACAACTGACTATACATTACGTGACAAATCATAAGGTACTGTATACATACGTGCGTCGCATGTCGCCGCTCGGTGGCCACGAAGGCCACATTTGTAACACCGCCCTAATATCAAGAAATGATATCAAGAAATAATTGGTTTGCAGGCTACCAAAAATCTTGAGTTAACTGCATGACCATTATCAATTAAACTTTACTAACCTCTCATTTGTCCATGCAACACTAAAAAGACAAAATGTCATATTGAGCATCCTGACAATGCAATATTTGTTGAGTAGCTCCAATGACAAAAACTGGACAATTGTTGTGGATATAATGAATCATACAGTACCTCTGCCTGCCCCCCGAAATCGCCCAGGGCGTGGGTCATTATCTAAAATAAATAAATAAAACAAACTTGGTTGACATATTGCATAAATCCATGTAATGATAGGAGGCAACCTTTTTAATTTTAGAGTTTTAAATTGATGACAAAAAACTTGAACATGCATCATTATCACTTAATACATAAAATTAGTAATATAGAACAAAGTAGCTGATACATATATACTGTCAAGGTTTGCATTAACTTGCAAGGCTGGAGAGTTGAAAACATAAGTTAGTTCATTTCAATATATATCAAGATGCAATTGCTCTACTATACCTTTCTAATCATAAAATGTTAAACAATATAGGCAGTATATACAAAATTTCAAAAAACATATCATTTTTGTGCATATTCAATCAGCATACCAGGCCTTTCTTGAGGTGCATGACCATTGTCAATTGAACTTTACTAACCTCTAACTTGTCCATGTAACACTAAAAAGACAAAATGTCATATTGAGCATCCTCATAATGCGATATTTTTTGAGTAACATCCAATGACAAAAACTGGAAACAATTGTTGTGGATATAATGAATCATACAGTACCTCTGCCTGCCCTCCGAAACCGCCCAGGGCGTGGGTCATCATCTAAAATAAAAAAAATAAAACAAATTTGGTTGACATATTGCATAAATCCATGTAATGATAGGAGGCAACCTTTTTAATTTTAGAGTTTTAAATTGTTGACAAAAAACTTGACCATGCATCATCATCACTAATTAATACATAAACTAAATAATATTGAACAAAGTAGCTGATATATACCATCAAAATTTGCATTAACTTGCAAGGCTTGAGAATTGAAAATATAAGTTAGTTCATTTCAATATATATCATCATGCAATTGCTTCACTATACATTTATAAATGGTAAACAATATAGGCAGTATATACAAAATTTCAAAGAACATATCATTTTTGTGCATATTCAATAAGCACATACCAGGCCTTTCTTGAGGTGGAGGATTCACTAGATTAAATGAAAGTATTTCAGTTGTGCAGGGGAAAGTATGCATCAATAAGTCACATCAATCATGAAACTTACTGGGTTGCTCATCTGGCCCCTGGGCCAGGTCAGGGACTGCCGCAAGTATTTCTATAGTGAAAGAAAATTTCCATGTGTTATCCTTTTAGTGCTATGTGAAAAGACATACAAATTAACTAACTGTGACAAAAATAATATTTCAAATAGTTTTTTAATCATATTTACCATCATCATTATCAATATCAATGTCTAAAATCCAACAAATAATTGTTAAATTAGATTTTTGAACATTGGAAATGATCAACGACATTTTAATCAGTTGCTAATTTGTACATTCAGAGTGAAATATATATAAATACGTGCCTATATACATACCAAGTATGAGTTCATCCTCATTATTCTCCACTAAAGTAGTTGGTAAAGTAGATGTACATATTAATACAATAATTGCACTACCAACATCATGAAAAAAGTGCTTTGTTGAAATAATTTTGCATCTTACTTCTTCGTCTCCTTTAGATCTTTAGAGTATATATAAATATGCCATCAACATAAAAAGTATATTGAGCAAAAAAGTATGTAAAAACAACAGCACCATATAGTGTACTCGAGGCAAACTCAAAAATCATAATATACAAATATTAGTTTTGAAAAAAATTTATCTATTGTAATATAAACAAACTTACATGTTTTAGATTTTTTTCAAAACTTCTTTTAATCTAAAATATAAGAAAAAATATAATATTTTCATTATTTCTTAAAGGTAAAGCGCATCAGCCATCAGCGTTGCAAAAATCGACAAATTTATAAATGCTTTAAAAAAAGTTTTTGCAGTTTCTTCCAAAAATGTTTCTCCTCAAATTTGTAAATTAAAATGTCAACAAGAGAGAAGTGTAATATAATTTATTGGGCGAACTTTGAAATGTTCAATATTTTATAAAGTTTTTTATTATGAATATGACTTACTGCAGTCCAAACAGTGGCACAGAACAGGACGATATTTTCGCGCGCTTTTTGAAATTTATGCTATACGTCGTAAACGCCTACACGCACGAATTATAAAGTAAAGAGTTTTGAACAGTGAAATGGTTGATTGTTTATATTGTATCTTACCTGATTGATGTTCTAAATTTTTTTAGTAAAACGAACAAACTTTAATAATGTAAATATCTCTACATGTCAACAGCCACCCTCAAAAACATAATACGTGAGATTATGTCTAGTAACAGGCAATGACACATGTTTTACATGATAAATTGCCCTCCTCAAAAACACAATAGAGGAAATGTCTGTAACAATTTTTCAGCAAATTCATTTCCAAAATTGTGTCTAGTAACAGGCAAGTCTTTCCTCGAAAGCACATTGGTGCCCAGTATCATTGAACAATATATATGCAGCAACACAAACTTACAGCACAATCCATCCACCAGATTTTCAATGCTTATGCCTCTGCTCAGTCTTTTCTGCAAGCACACGAAGTCGTCGTTCTGCTTCTTGTCGCTTCTTCAAACTTTTATTCTTACCAATTACTTTCAGACGATCAAATGTCATAGGTTCAAACACAATATCATGAATTGATCTTACCCTGGATGTTGCCACAAATGTGCAGCCAGCAACTCTCTCCCCTTTACCTAAATCAACAACAGCCTTGGTTAGTGTCTGTCCTTGGGACTTGTGTATCGTCATTGCATACCTCAGCCGCAAGGGCAATTGTTGTCTTGACAAATACTTTCCATCCGCCATCCACTCAAACAGTCTTGGAGGCACAGGTATACACTTTGAACATTCTTGTAGAAATGCAGGGCCAGAATATGCCGGAAAATGAACCAGTACTGCAATCGGTAGATTTGGTGGACCCATATTCTCTGCAAACCAAAATTGCTCAATAGTTCCAAAAGAGCCATTGCAAAGACCAACTTCTGCCCAAAGGTTACATGTCAGCATCACTTCTGCTTTGGTTGACAAAAAGAGAAGCTTCCAAACCACCTGCTTCATCAGAGTTGCCGCACTTGCACCCCGACCAGAATGCCTTGCTTGAATTTTGACCAATGGTTGTCCAATCTCTAGCAACTTTTCATAATTATATTCAGCGACACTTTTTTTATCAAAGTACAGCCGAATAGCATCACTAAATTGATCCATTGAAACGTTAGGCTGGAGTGCTGTATTAATAGTCTCCAGTCCATCTCGGTAACTTGTCCATCTCTCATTCTCATCAATAGCGCCCTGAATGCAACTACTTCTGGGTCTTCACCAATCTGTCGCATGACCTGCTCTAAAATGACTACATGATCAAATGTCAAATACATACTGTGACCATGGTCACTGATTACGGATCCATTACCTGCAATGTACATTGGCCTATCGCCTACAGGAGGTAATTGGCCAAAATCCCCCATTAGGATAATCGACATGCCACCAAATGGGACATCCTCTTTCCTGTACCTGCACGTAGTCTGTTGTCAAGCCATGAAAGCATCTTATGTCCAATCATTGACATTTCATCAATAATGAGAAACCTCTTACCTTCCAATCTGAGTTGCAATCTCTGTAAGGAATCACCCTGTAATTCTCTGTATTCCCGAATCGGAAGTTGAGCTGCGGAATGCAAAGTTTGACCACCAATACTGAATGCAGCAATTCCAGTGGTTGCTGTCACAATACATTGGTCTTGCAATACTTGCTTTAGGGCACTAATTAAATATGTCTTACCTGTGCCAGCAGTACCACTTACAATCATATGTAGCGGTTCACATTCATCATTAGCCATGGATGCAGTGATAATGTCAAATGCCAGCGCTGTTTGTCATTCAAGGTCCCTGGGTCAACCACCACTTGTTGGTCACCTGTGTGATACTGCATACCTTGCTCCTCTGCATCCCTTCTCTGTTTAGAAATCCATCCAGGAGATTCTCTCAACAAATCCCCAGGCACGCCTCTTGCTGCTTCGAACCAATCCACTGCTTCGTTATTTGCCATTTGATTTCCTGCATCCTCATAATGTTGGTTGAGTCTACATAACAACATCCAATCCTCAATTTGCTCTTCCTCATTAGGTTGATCCTGTTCGTCATCGCTTTCATCACTTTTCATCAGTTCCATATGTTTCATCTGTCTGTGCAGCATGGACCATCTCTGTTTCAATAGAATACCCAAATACATTGTCTCTAGCAAAATCTGTCTGAAGAAATGAAGCATATGTGTTAATAAACATATCATCAGTTTCCTCCATATTGTCCCATGCATTTGATGACTTATCTTCCCATGGTTTAAACTTAATGAGTTGATACTTGCAGTATTTTCCAAAGGTAGGGCTGCCAGGATTGGCTGTAACCTTTGGAAATGTCCTGACAATATAAGGATTCACTCGTTTTGTCAACTCACCTCTGACTCTTGTGAACTGAGATGCATACTGCATCAAATTCAACTGAGATAACCCCCTATACCTACTCTCCACTTTTGTCGCTCTCCATAATCTTGAAGAACAGAATTCTGAAGTACTTCCTCTTGTGGATTTTCTGCATCAAGGATCACTTTTTACTGTTTTCTAAAGAAACAGTAACAAAACTATACGTACAGCCTACCAAAGGCAAACTGAGTAACATATGGGCAGTCTCCTGAGCAGCCATGTCTCGATCACCAGCAACTTGGATCATTGCTTTCTTGATTGCAGAAGACACTTGGTCATCATTCTGTAATGAAGATACAGACAACTTCAGTATGTCAGAAGCAGATTTTGATCGTGGTTCCCCTTTTGCTGCATACTTGGCCATATATCTTGCACATGCCTTTTCCACAATTACCTGCAAATCCACATTGGCCCGCCAATTCTCAAGCATGACCCTGTTGTGTGAATTCAGCCTCTCATCATTTCTCTTGGTTTGCAAATCTGAGTGTACAGATTTATTTTTCTTACCTCGAACCTCATAAATCAGTGCAGTCTCCTCTTGTAATGGTTTTGGGAACCCAAATCTGCACTCTGCAGGCAGGTCAACCCTCTTCTTTTTCAGGCAATACGCTGGACTGCATCTGGTGTGCCTCTCTACTGAATTTACTAACCTGTGATAATCAACATCATGATTATCAACTGATGTGGCTTTCACAGCAGAAGGGTGCGGATCTGGTACTGTCCAGTTCTCATCAGGCAGATCATCATTAACTGTGGTCACAAGCCAGTCAACATAACTTTAAAAGGGATAAAAAGTAACAAATTGGTTATAATACCTAATTTGTATATTTTTTCATATTTGCTGTTTACACTCCTAATTCCTTAACAATAGGAATTACCAATTCCTAAAGAAAATAAACGGAATTTTGTTTTGTTTTGTGAATGTATGTGGAAGTTGTATTTTTAGACATTTGCAACATTGCAGCATTTGTATAGTATGCTAACCACTGATGCTAACTGTATACAGTAGGCTAAAAGTCTGGAAAAAAGTCTTATAAGTGTTTCACAGCACACATTGGACACAATCTTTGCAATCTATATGCATGGTGAGTGTAATTTAAACATACCATTAATACTTGATGATTTAAACTCACCTAATTAGCTTTCTCTCCGCATCTTGACCATCTCTGACAATATCCTGGCAAGAGAATTCAAAATCGTCAGGGGACATTTCATTTTCTTTCTCTTTCTCAAGCACTGCTTTACATGCACGTTTACGTAATAACTGAATATCTGGATCATTCTTTAATTTAGCACATCCATGAGCATGTATACTTCCTCTGGCCTGATATTCAAACCTATACCAAAACCATTCAGCATCCAAGACTCCTTGAAGCCAATGTTTGATAAACTCCTGTAGCCTTTGCATGAAGAACCAATCAGTCAGGTGTGGATTGTCTATCACTGCTTGTGCTCTTTCTGTTCTTGATGCACCTTCATTACTTTGCAACAGTCTTTGCAAGTCTGGCCAATGGCTATCAGCTGCACTAAAAGTAAAGAAAAAGGTAGGGCAACCTTTTTGTTCAATCAGGGCTAATAGTTCTTGCAGTCGCTGATACCAATACTGATTTGTTCCTTGAATTTTTGAAACATATCTTTGCAAACGATTTACCATTTGATTTGCACTCATCGAGTTTACCATTGTCTTCAGCTCCTCCATAGTCATGTTAGCATCCGCTGGATGTTGCCGCAAGTAAATGTTAGCTTGTGACAACAACTGATGTCTCTGCTTCATATTCAGTGCCCAGTATGGGAACCGGGATGTGAGGCAAACCTCCATTCAAACTTACCATTTGGTAGCCTCTCTGCAAACTTCATTAGGTGTTTGAATGCCTCTGCCAAACTTACCTCATGTTGCCTGACTCTGTTTGTTGGGTCACTTTTATAGGGAAATAGTGTTGGAAATGCCATGCTTGCCAAACCATCTGTTTTAAATTCATTAACAGCATTACCTTCTGTAGATGGCCAGTCCAAAGGGTCAACCTCATTTACTGCATCTGGGATAGCTGCACCATCCTTTCTTTGTCTTTGACGCACAGGAATAAATGATGTACTGCCATTTCCTAAAACTAATTCTTCAACTGTCGCATTAGCACTCATTACAGATTCTTGTGGGGGGCCCTCATTTTCAACATGAACTGAAAGTTCATTGTCATCAATAACATACCTTAGCTCTTTAGGGATACCATTCTCTGGTAGGCTTTGGATAATCCCTGTCAATCTCAATGTCTTTGAAAAATGGATTGTTTGTTTTCAACCACAATAGCTTCAGCACCTGTGTCGACGAACTGTAAAATCTTTATGTGTTTCATCAGCGCCCTGTCTACGCACAATCATAACAGGCAAGTCAACTACTTGTGCAGGCAACCTATTCAAGAAACTTTGAATATCTTGTGGTAAGTTTAGTACATGACCTTTGTAGCCCCTTTGCCCACCATGTTTTCCGTAGACTTGCATGATGGGGCAAACCCTTGAAATCAGCATTTCCTCTACCTGTGTCAAACCTCTCAATTGCTCAGGAACAATACCTGGGTCCATGTCATTGCCAGCACTGAAATTCTTTGGGACTTCTTGTCTCTTTTGCACCGGTAACAAACGAAGGGATCTGCTGCCAAGTTTTGCCTTGTTGGCCAGGCCTCTTTACAAATTGTACACTGCCGATGCTCTAAATGCTCTTGATCTAAATGAAAACTGTGCATTTTATTCGAAAAACTCCTGCTCATGCAAGGGGTTGTCAACATTTTGCCAACCACCTTCATGCAAATATTGGTCTGAACTACAGCTACTTACAGCATTTGTACTTTCTTCGTCACACATTCTTACCCGATTGTTTTCTGACTGTACCTCCTGAGGTTTCGACCTTGTCTCGTATGATTTTTTCGCATGTTTCCTCATATTCTCGAGTCTTTTTGCTCGTTTTTGGACACTTTCACGTTGCCTTCTCTCTCTTGCGTTTGCTCTTTTTTCTTCCCTTTGCATCTCACTTGCTTCACTTGTACTTGCTTCCTTTCTCCGTTTATAAGCTGCCCTACGCTTTGCCAAACGACTTTCTCTTTGCTCTGGCGTTTGTTGTTGTAAAAGTTGCCGTTCTTTCCCTCTTTGCATCTCAATTTCCTCGCTTGTACTTGCTTCACTACTCCGTTTATAGGCATCTCGTCGTTTTGCCAAACTACTTTCTCTTTGCTCTGGCGTTTGTTGTTGTAAATGTTGCCGTTCTTTCCTCTTTTCGTCTCAATTTCTTCGCTAGTATTTGCTTCGGTCCTGCGTTTATAAGCGGCCCTGCGTTTCGCTAAACGACATTCCTTTTGTTTCCGGGTTTTCTGATGAGATTTTTGACGTCTTTTTTCTTTCTGTTTTCCTCTTTCATCGCTTGTACTTACCTCAATACTTCTCTTGTAAGCAGCCCTTTGCTTTTCTAACCGACACTGCTTTTCCTCTGGCGTTTCTGCATCCAACAGGGCTCGGTTGTTTATCTTTCTTCTTGCCAGCCTTTCATCATCATTACCTGCATCTTTTTTCCCATCTTTTAGCTTCTCACTTACCCTATTCGCCATCTTCCAAATGAAAATTTTCTCGTTTGTTAAGAGTGTTTGTTTTTTTCTTTTAAAAATGCTGTATTCAGCAGAGTTGATTTGATACGAAATGTCTTTTTAAAAAACGTTTTTTAAAGACAGTTAAATCTCTGACGTTTTAGTTTTAATCCAAACTGTTCATCTTAGCCAATCAGCAAGTTACTAATTACCAGTACTTTACTCGCTTACATTTCGCGCATGCGCACAAGTACCATGACCATTGAACGTCCACGGTCCACGGTCCACAACATAGAATTTGAGCAACTTTGGATTCCGCTATGTTCTGTCACAATACCCGGGTGTAATAAATCTCCCAGCGGAATTAGTACCCTCGCACGGCGCTTTGCGCCGCCGGCTCGGGGATAAGGAAATTTCTGTCGTTAAAAGACAAGAAAACAAAGTGGAGATAAGAAATATGAAAAAATTTAATCACCAAAAATTTCTTGAGGATCTGAAACGCCAACCCTGGGAAAATGTATATTTTTTCGCAAAAGATCCTAACGCTATGTGGGGAATTTGGAAGAAATTATTCTTAGAAGTCTTGGATAATCATGCACCTCTTCAGCATAAAAAGATTAGAATGAAAAAAGTTCCTTGGATTACAAGTGCTATAAAGCAACTTATAATTGCAAGAGACAGATTCAAAAGAAAGGCCATTTCTACAAACCTAGAGATAGACTGGTTAAATTATCAAACAACAAAAAAAAAATGTTAATATTCAGCTAAGAAATGCTAAAAAAAGATTATTAC